GGTTAGGGTTCAGGCCACGATTGAAGGTAGCGATCAGAGTTCTCTGGGTAAGTCTTTATAGTTCCCTTGAGATTGCTGTCAGGCAAGATGGGCTGGACCTATCTAGGAGGAGCGGCCGAACTCTCCTAGTTTCTCTCAGAGGCAATCAGTTTTTTTTAGGGTTTGTCATTAACCCTACGGCTAGACTTGACTGTGAATTCTTTTGGAAAGTGCGGCTGAGCACTGTTTATGTTCTCACAAAGGTCTTCCTAACCCTACGATTAAAACCCTAATTCTGCTTCAGCATTACAGATTGCTTTCTAAGAGGGTTTCAGACCTGTTTTTGGCTTCCGAGCCTGTTTTGGGGGTGAGAACTGTTATCGGACTGCATATATTCTGATTGCCGATTGGTTTCAGATCAGATCTGAACTGATTTCATACAGATTTCTGATTGTGATTGATTGTTTAAGTGCTGTTTTCTATTGTAGTAACCCTGATAGTTCTTAACTATTGATTCTTGACCAAGAATGGAGTTCAAAAATCAGGGAGAAGGTGTTTTTGGGAACAACAGTTCTGGTAGTATGTCTAAGACTGCATTTCAGATTACGATTGTGAGATTTGACGGATCAAATTACTTGGAATGAGCCCAATTAGCCTTGATGGCTATTGGGGGAAGAGGAAAACTTAGCTACCTATTGGGAGATGTGAAAGAACCTTCCAAGGAGGACTCAATGTATACCAAGTAGGTTCAGGAGAACTACTTGGTTATGACATGGCTGTGCAACTCTATGCAGCCACATATCAGCCGAAATTACTTGTGGGCAAAGACAGCCAAGGAGATATGGGATGTCATGAAAGAGACCTACTCCCAATCCCTTAATGTTGCTAGAGCCTATGAACTGAAGTGTGAGGTGAATACTCTTAAACAAGGAGAGAAACCAGTATCTGTTTATTTCTCTACCTTGAAATCCTTGTGGCATGAAATTGACCATCTGGAGACTCTTGAGTGGGAAAGTCCAAAAGATGCAYARACYCATASAAAGCAAGTCGAGACCAATAGGGTGTTTGAATTTCTGGCTGGCCTGAATTCAGATTATGACATTGTGAGACAACAGATACTGACAAGAGACAGTGTGACCCTCTCTCAAGCATACTCCCTGGTGCACAGTGAAGAGACCAGGAGGAAGGTTATGATGCAACATCAGCCCTTTTCCCCAGCCCTGGCAACAGTTAAACCTAAGCCTGGGGGTGATACAGAAAGGGACATGAAGAAGGAAGATAAACGAGATCTGGTATGTGAACATTGCAAGAAACCCAAGCATACGAAAGATACATGTTGGAAGCTCCACCCTCATTTAGTCCCAGCAAAACTGAGGAATAAAAGGGGTAATGCTCATATGGCTGTGAATACTGATTCTGCATCCTCGTCAGGCACAAAAGGCACGCCCCTAGATACCTTAGCTACTGTTCGGGCTGCCCTAATATAGTTGGAAAAGGAGGTTGGGAATTCAACTCAGTCATCTCAGTCACCATTAGCATCAGCCCCTGCCACATCTGCATTTGATCATTCAGGTACTCGGGCCTCAGCCTACCATGCTTCGCTCCAGGTAACACTGAACACTGTTGGGTAATAGACTCAGGTGCATCTAACCATATGACTAACTTGCCATCATTGTTCACTACTTATCACTTRTCYTCYGGTMGAGATARAGTATCCATTGCTGATGGCTCTCTTGTTCCCATTTCTGGCAAGGGTGACATCAAGTTATCTGATACTATCTTTTTATCCTCAATCTTGCATGCTCCTAAACTTGATACTAATTTGCTTTCAGTCAGTAGTATTACCAAATATCAGAATTGTTCAGTAACCTTTTTCCCTGACCGATGTGTTTTTTAGGACTCGGAGACGAGGAAGGTGATTGGGACTGGCCGTGAGACGAATGAGATCTATCTGCTTGGAGAGAGTTCTCATTGGAAAGAGCCAGTGGATAAGAAGTCTTTTGTTTCTCAGTTTGTGAGTCCGGTTATGCTTTGGCATAATCGATTAGGTCATTTATCTTTTCGGTCTTTGAAGAGTTTGTTTCCTACTTTATTTGAGTTTGTTGAGATGTTAAATTTGAGATGTGAGAGTTGTGAGCTTGCCAAACATTGTAGAACCTCTTATTCCTTGAGTAATAAAAGAAGTAATAATTCTTTTGATATTGTGCATACCGATGTTTGGGG